AGCAATACTATTGACGTTGTAGCTCAGACTTTGTTGTCCAATATATTGGACAGAGTCTCCATTGCTGGGCCTCAGGAGGATATCGGCGAATCGAAGAACTTCCACGATCGACTCCGCCAACATAAAAACGACGTGCGAAACTTCGACAGAGAACGCAGTGCTCTCGCCGAACATTGCGAGACCCTCGACCACCGCATTGCCTTTGAAAACGCAAGCATCCTAGACACGGCATCAAATCTACGTAGAAGACACCTCGTAGAGTCATGGTACATACAAACAACCTCTAACAACATCAATAGGTCCTTAGGGGCACTTCCAACTTTATATATTACCGGCCTCCAAGATGTTATAACAGACTGCGCACGGCACGACCAGCCTACTAAGACCAATGAAAAAGAAAAAGAAGTCGCTGAACATCTAGAAGAAGAAGAAGCTGCTGTCCTTCATTCATCCCCCTGAAGAAGAAACGAACGGTTTCGAAACGTAGGGTCGCTACTATTTCAATTTTTGGTTGGCGGATTATCTTATCTCTTTATTATTTACCCAACCAGAGAGAATTCTCTCAAACATGTTTACCTTCAAGTCTCTTCACGATGGACAATGTCGTGTGCAAGGTCGTAAGTTAAATTATTTTTTTAAAACAATCTCATCAAAAATCAACATGCACACACGTTCAAGTGCAGCCAGACAGCCCGGCAGAAACAACAGCGCGAGAAGCTCGAACCGATCGGCTCCACGAATTCACGCCGAGCATGCGAGCACGCGGGCGGTCGTGCGTCACCTTGATTGATGCAAAGTCGACCGAACATGATGCAGCAGAAAGCACAGATGGACGGCACGCACGGCACAGACGAACGACGCAGGGACGAGCAGATATCCGTGCAGATTGATGCAGAGGCGACGGCGTGCAGGCAGGCAGGCCATGGCAGGCGCCATTCATCACGTGGTTGTTGTGACGTATTTGATTTAATCTATTTAGTCGTTTTAAGTACTTTAAACAATTTTAAAGCATTGCCATTTAAAAAATAAATACTTTTCACAGAAAGAGTTTTAATTAATTTTAAACAAATTGTAGAAAAGCGCCACGTAGCGGAGGGTATGAAACGCACTATCTGGGCCGCGAATCGGCTCCTGTGTCCTCTCTTTACGTTTACTATATTACTCTATGTGCAAACTGTGGGCGCGCATATGCGTGACTGGAGGAGGGGAGGGAGGGGGGGATGGCGGAGAACTTTCGCCACTTTCGCGATCTCTCGCGTGTCACGTGTTAGGGACAGGCGCCTCCGCTGCATCCCCTACGCGGGCGCTGCGAGCGGGCGTTCTCCGCGCGCGCGCCCGGCTTTGTCTGCGAGTCAGTTTAGTTTTGTTCTTCGCGCTCGTTGCGCGGTCGGTCGGCGCTCGACCGGCGGCGACGTTCGCGCTGCGGGCGCACGGATACTGACGCGCCCATCGTTGCCCTGGATGGATACCTACTGACCTCGGCTTTGCATCTTTATTCAGTGTGAAGCTGCCGACCCATTGCACTTTGGCTCGGCATCTGGATGCGCTTGGCGCTGGTGTGCTCGGTGACAATACCAGGACAACTCGGATACCGCTTGCCCGCCGGAACTTCCCGATGCACTCCATCACTGGATACTGTGCTTGTGCGTGCTGTGTGTGTGTATGTTCCGTGCACCGTGTTTGGCGACGACGCGCGCCTTGCATTCATTGTCTGTTGCAGTCAGCGGCAGCGCTTCGACAATTTCGGTTCTTCTCCGCTCCCGTCGGACTGCCGGCCGGCGGCGACGTTCGCGCTGCGGGCGCACGGATACTGACGCGCCCATCGTTGCCCTGGATGGATACCCACTGACCTCGGCTTTGAATTTTTATATAGTGTGAAGCTGCCGACCCATTGCAGTTTGGCTCGGCATCTGGTTGCGCTGGTGTGCTTGGTGACAATACTTGGGCAACTTGGATACCGCTTGCCCGCCGGAACTTCCCGACGCACTCAACACTGGATACTGTGCTTGTGCGTGCTGTGTGTGTGTGTTCCGTGCACTGTTTAATGACGACGCGACGACGCCTGGACGACCGTGTGCGCGGCCATAATTACCGCTGCGCTCACCACTGGACTCTACAGAAGTCTTCCGTGCGATGCCCTTAGCCGTTACAAGCGAGAGATCGTCGCGATTTCAGACCCACTCCGCCTGGGTCTGAAATCACGACGATCTCTCGGTTGTAACGGCTAAGGGCATAACACGAAATTCTTTTGTAGAGTCCAGTGGTGAGCGCAGCGGGAATTCCGGCGGTGCAACGGTCCTGGGTTTAAAAATGGGACTGGAACTGCGCGGTTCCGGGCTGGATACAAGCTGGTGCCCCAATTTTGGGTCTAGGCGGAACCGGCTTTTTTCATTCCGGCCTGAATCTGACATTTTCGTATGGGCCGCTATTATTATGGTAAGTGCACTGCAAAATACGTGTTGGCAACGATTGACCGCTCTTCTACGCGTACTCTTCCAGGTTATCCGTAGAATTATGCAGCGCCTTTTCACGCGGCAGCCGGGAGAATAATTTCCCCTAAAGTCTAGCTGTATAGTCTAGAATTACCTCGGTTCTTGTTTGCTTTGCAATCTTCTCAGTTGTATAAAAGCTTAAAGTGCCTCGCACATTTCACAGATCGCTTGCACGTTTGTACTTGTCGTCAGAAGAGGTAATAAACTTCGAGGAGAATTGAAAACAATCTTTTGCGTCTGTTTTCCTGTCCATTCGCAAGCACCTACGCGAGCGCATTTGTTCTACGTGTTTTCTCCGTGTTATAGATACGTTTATGAGTTTCGGGACGTCTTAAATAAGTTTAAAATAACCAACCTCCGAGACGATACCCATTTAGGGCTAGCGAATCCGAATGGCACGTTCAAACGTGTGGTCACGTGCCAGGTCGAACGGGCACCCGTATCAAACGGGCACCCGTGTCAAACGGGCATCCGTATAAAATGGGTACCGTTTCGAAAGGGTACCGTTTCAAACGGGTACCCGTATCCCATAATCACGTTTGATTCAAACGGATCGACAGGTTTGATTCAAACGGGTCGACCAGTTTGAATTTCAAATGGTTTTTTTCAGTAGGGTTTCAAGGCATTGTAAAGGGCACTTTAGACATTTCAGAAGAGCCTTTTACGGAGCCAGTGAAGCCACCAGGAAATATCGGTGCCCCCTTCAAACATCTCAGAAATTCCTGAAGTCCCCTTCGCACCCTTTAAAAAAGTCCTGAAGTCCCATCAGAGCAATTTTCAATAGGGGGCTCCTTATGACCTCAAAATACTTCTCTATATTACTCTTGTTCGCCCTAAACTAGAATACGCCTCATCTATCTGGCATCCCCCCCCTTTCATTTCTCACCAATGCAATAAAAGCAGCCCAAAACCGCGCAGCTCGTTTCATTCTTTCCGATTACTCCTGTTTTTCCAGTGTCACTGAAATGAAATCTCAATTGACCCTTCCTGACCTTTCTCTTCGCCGCAAAATTTCCAGGCTTTTCCTCCTGCATAAAGTGTATTACTCTCCTTCTCTAAATCAGTCTCTCCTTAGGCCACCCAACTATGTTTCTTCAAACCTGGACCACACATGCAAGATTTCCCGACCCAAGACCAAATCTACAGCCCACCAGCATTCATTTCTACCTGAAACTACTGTGGAGTGGAATGGCCTTACCGATAACATCGTCACCATCAAAGATAACACCAAGTTTCGCCTCGCACTTAACCACCACTCCCCTTTGTAATGCCCCTCGGGGCCCTGAGCGTATTTGTAAATAAATAAACAAATGAATAAATAAATAGATTGCCGTAAACTGTCTGACGTTAGATTTCTGCAGGTTTTTCAGCACTTCCTCCTCGCTCACACTAATTACAACGTTATTGTAGTCACATGGGTTTTCGATATTCTTGCCATAAATTGAATTCATAATGAGCTTAGATAGGTTCTTTTGAAAAGCATGTGTCGCCCATTTCGAAGGTTGTGGTTAAAGTCGATAAAATCTTTAAGAAATGCCCTCTGCGAAAACTTCATAACGCGATGAATGACCTTCAGTTTTAAGCCCAACTCTAGATAAAGCTTGAGATTTCGGTAGTGGATAATGTAATTGCGTTTCGGGTAAAAGGTGAGAAGCAACTTTCGGTCAGACTCTCGCTGGGGTAGGTGAAATTTTTCGGCGAGCGCTTATTGATAGGGTGAGAGCCATTCGAACGGGACTCCTCGTTTCTGGGGAGCCAGGGGAAAGTCCGCGTGCGAATCGTGTAGTTTCCGAGGGTAGTCAAGCTCCACCTCTAAAATGCAACCCTCGGGCGCGTCGTCGGGAACCTGCTGGAAGTGGAGAGTGTCGATTTCCGCGCGGTCTTGCCAGCGAAAATCTGCGCATGTAAGGGATTGTCGCATGGTGGAAGCGTAAAGACCGTTCACGTCAAGGTCTAAAATTTGAGAAACCGCCGTGTTCGGATCGAAACATGCGGTTCCTGGAACGTTAGCCCTCGTGTTACGAATAGCACATTGAACGATTCCCCCTCGCGGACCCGCTTTGATGAAGAGATACGCATCCACGTCGTCGAGCAGCTCCAGTTTTACCCTAGTTCGTTTAAGTGCGCAGGCGAGACTGATCGCGGGGCGGGAAACGTACTGTAACGGATGGAGCTCGTACGTGTCTAAAGTCCATTTCCTGAAATTTTGGAACACGTCGGCGAGAACTAGGCAGTCGAGATGCAGGTAGCAGTCACTTTATTCTCCTAGGCTTTTGAAATTAAATGTTTCAAAGACGGTTTGGGCGTGACGGTAGTCCTCCTCTGAAATTTGACTCTCGTTAAGCTTGTTGTGAAACCACTCGGGCGGCGGTAGCTCGGGCTCCCGGTAAGCTCGAAACTGGTCACGTAGTCGTAGGGAAATACGCCTTTCCGCGCCAGAAGCTCAACGTGTTGCGGAAAAGCCTGCTTTAGACAGCATAGGTTTTCTAGTCCCTTGGATCGGAGGTCCTAAACCAGCGCGTCCAAGCTGGCGGGGAGAAATGCCAGACTGTCGAGAAACCGCAGGTTACCCACGTCGAGTCGCTTAAATTGCTGGCAGCTAGTGGCGAGCACTTTAATATCCTTAGACTCGAATAAGTCGAGTTTTGGTAGTGTAAAGGCCAGGTCATACGAATGGTTGTGCGCAAGCACTGGAATGACTTTCTTGTTTACTCCCAGATTTAAATTGCATCCCTGACACGACGCCTGCCTGCACGATCTGGTGAAGTGGTCGTGATCTTTGACTTTTCTCTTTCGATTTCCAAACGATTCGCCACAAATCACGCAGTGAGAGACCGACGCATGAGCCTCTTCGTTTACACTCACCATTGGCACTTCCTCACTTCGAATCCATTCGCCAATGAGTTTTGACAATTCATTAAAGATGGAAATGAACTTTTCCACGCAGTCCTCGCCCCAGTACAAAAACTGTTCGACGATGCGCGAGTCCGTGGATCGGATTACGAGTATGCAAAATGAACGGGGGACGTGCTTCTCGTAAGCCTGACCCATGTTTTCCGCTTCCAGAATGGCCTCGAAATCGTAGACGCAAAAGTAGGGGAAAGGTTCCATCGCGTGTGGGCTCCGGAAATACAGCGCGTCCCCCTTTGCAGGACACACTGTTCGGATTGCCTTCTTTTCTTTACACAACAATAAATGACTCCCCAGCGCAGTGCGAAAGCGAAAGCCCATCATACACCTTTTACAGCGAAAACGGTGACTGCGGCTGTTCGCGAACAGTCCGGCAAAGTTGGTGATTAGAACAAAGTGATCGTCTATTAGGAGCAAATCGACGTGCTTCTCCAACTCGCTATTGATGACTTCGAGTGGGTAGACAAACCTTTGTTCTCGATCATAACCGTACACGTTCACGGACACGGAGTTTTTCCTCTCGAAAGCCTGCATGTCTTGCGGAAACGTCACTCGATACCTGGTGGGGAACCAATACTTGGTCATATAGTCTCGGTAGCAAGAAGTTCTCGATCGATTATAGGGTGCGGGATGGAGACCGGCGAGCACAGAAAACACAAAGCACATGTTTCTTTCCGAGTCATTCAGTTGCTCGGTCACATTTACTAGGCACTGTCTGCTTTGGATTTCACCGGGCAACACGCAGCTTGCACAACCTACCGTGGGCGGAATGAAACGTCCAACGGTGATGGTGCAGGTCTGAATGGCGACGACGACAAGCCCAGATCCTCGTTCTTGATACTGTTCGAGGCGAGCACAGATCTCGGCGCATGCAGTCTGTAGAGCATCGCGAATGCTACCTTCGGCCCAGACCGTGTGCACGAAAGAATGAAAGTGGTGCACGCTGAATTCGAATTCGTCTTCACCATTGAGACGAGTCATTTCCACGGTTAGTCTGATGAAAAAACGCAATGGCATTTCATAATGCCTAAAAACATGAGCCATCGCGTCGGACTGAAGGCGAAGAAGCGTGGATACATTGTGAGACTCGTCGTCGCGCTCGTGCAAATGCATATCATAACGCGCGGTAAAGTTTCGAAAGGCGCACAGCGAGTTGATGAAGGGAAGGCAATCTTGCGGCTGGATATTGTGAACCTGGGCCAGGTGAACTTGTAACGACTCCGCGCTGGAGTACACTGCCGCTTTCGCGCATCGCACAAGTGGCAGGTTATCATTTTTTTTAATTTTTCAGCGTGATCTACAAGGTTTTAGTCAGAGCATGAGAAGGTAACAACGGGTGACCGCTCGTCACCGATGGTTTTTTCCATTAATAGTCCGGTCACTGCCTTCATCTTCTGGATGTCTTCCTCGTTGAGCTCGGCGAATCGTTTCGGTAAAAATACTTTTACGGCGTCGCTCTTAAGTTGGAGAGTAACACAAACTGATGGCCCGTGACGGGTGTCCATTCGCCTCACATCCAGCACGGGTATCTTAACATTACACGGGATGGTGCTCATGCTTGCGAAGACAGAGGATGACGACGCTCGCAGTGAAGACAGCTTGTTCAGGATCCCGTCCATTTTGGATTGACCGCGGAGAGGGCGGCGCCGATGGCTCGAGGCGAGATGACAGGTCTGAAAATAATCACGTTAGTACACGGCGGACCTGCAAAGCGTTTTCTCGCATTACCTTTTCGTCCGCGGAGAGAAAGCAGTGAACGAAGACAAGCGGATGAACACTCGACATTTATACCAAGCGGATTGCCAAATGGCGACTCGCCGTGAATCGACAAGTGCGTCACTATATATGAAAAGAAAAAAAAAACAAAAAAAAACACGAGACTGGAAAACAAAAGCGAACGACCGGATTGTCATCACAACGTATCTAATTCGCATATAAAGAAATGACATTCCGAGCTCTCGATACACGTCCAAACATGTCTAGACTTGTTCATGTTAGGTTCACACTTGGGTAGACATTGTGATTAGGGTATACGTCCGGGCGTCGCTATAAACCGCAGTGTTCATTGAAGCGGGTCTGCGAGGAGGAATGGTTCAATGTGCTATTCGTAACACGAGGGCTAACGTGCCAGGAACCGTATGTTCGATCAGAACACGGCGGTTTCTCAAATTTTAGACCTTGACGTGAATGGTCTTTACGCTTCCACCATGAAACATTCTCTTCCATGCGCAGATTTTCGCTGGCTAGACCGCGCTGAAATCGACGCTCTCCACTTCCAGCAGGTTATTGACGACGCGCCCAACGGTTACATTTTAGAGCTGGACCTTGACTACCCTCGGGAACTACAAGATTCGCACGCGGACTTTCCCCTGACTCCCGAGAAACGAGGAGTCCCGCTCGAATGGCTCTCACCCAATCAAAAAGCGCTCGTCGAAAAATTTCACCTACCTTAGCGAGAGTCTGAGCGAAAGTTGCTTTTCACCTTTTACCCGAAACGCAATTACATCATCCACTATCGAAATCTCAAGCTGTATCTGGAGTTGGGTTTAACACTAAAGGTCATTCATCGCTTTTTGAAGTTTTCGCAGAGGGCATTTCTTAAAGATTTCATCGACTTTAACCAATACCTCCAACAACAGGTGACAAATGCATTTCAAAAGAACCTATCTAAGCTCATTATGAATTCAATTTATGGCAAGACTATCGAAAACCCACGTGACTACTATAACGTTGTCATTAGCGTCAGCGGGGAGGAAGTGCTGAAAAACCTGCAGAAATCTAACCTCAGACAGTTTGCGGCAGTCAGTTTGACCGTGGTGATCTTTCAGTTTTCCCAGAGAACCCCACACTTGAACAAACCCGTGTACGCGGGCTTCTCTATCCTAGAGATGTCCAAACTGGTCATGTACGAATTTTTCTACAAGCAGGTCAGGCGCGTTTTCCCCGACGCTCGTGCAGCGTACAGCGACACGGACTCGTTCATCCTCCAAATCACCGACTCGAATGTAGACTCGAAGCTCGCGACCCTTGCCGAAACTCACCTGAATACTTCTGGGTACCCAGGCGATCACCCCTTGTTCTTTCCCGCAAGCAAAGTGAAAATAGGAGTGTTCAAAAACGAGCTCCCAAAATATCACATTCTTGGATTTGTTTGTTTAAAACCCAAACTCTATTTGATGGAACTTGCCTCTAGAGAGCACTACGTGAGGGCAAAAGGAGAGAAAAGGTGCGAGTCCCGTAAGCTAACCTACGAGCTGTACGTTCAAACTCTCGAGCAACATACTCTGCACAAGATCACGCAGCGGACTAACGCTCGTAAGTTGTGCGAGAACAAGACTGTTGTCGTGGAGAAGATAGGACTCAACCCGTTTGACAACAAGCGCTTCATCGACTCTGATGGCGTTTCAACTCTTCCTTTCGGACATTAAAGCCTTTTGTGAAGTTTTTTTTTTTTCTTAAAATGATGTATTTGTGTGTGTGCGTGTGTGTGTGAGTGTATGTGTGTACAGAAGGCAGACTTGTACGTAACGCGTTACAAGTAATTGATTACTTGTAATCAATTACAGTTAAGTGTAATTTTGTAACGCTTCAATTACATTTGTCAAGCTGTAACGCTCGGAGTAATTCAATTACTTTTTTTCTGTAATCAATTACAAAATCGATTACACAATTACCAATTACATTTTTCATCCCACAATTTTTTTTTCTCACAAAAATCAGCATAGTCACTCAGCCATGGAGCAAAAATGATTGACATTTTTTTAACATCTAAAAAAAAATAAAACTAGGATTAGTCGGCAAATCCTTTTTTCTTTTACGCCACGCTCTTCTACAAGCGCGCCACCAGCCTTGGCTGGGGAGTTCCGGATCTCGTTGCAGATTGCTGATAAAGTCGACGGGAAGCGGGAACTCGCTATTGACTTTTTAGTGGGCTTTGTTCCTTAGGTCGACGCGTCAGCTACACGACAAGGCCCGGGTCTGAAAACAAAAAAAAAGGATGAGCATCCTACCGGCGTGCGGTCGTGTATCACTACTGCGTGATGCACGTTAAAGACCCCAGGCTAGTTGTTGTACCGCACTGGCTAAATTTCTCATCTACAGCTGGGAGACTCGTCGCCCCTGTGAGGCAGACCAAGTTCTAGGCTGTATAAACACACACACAACCCAATTATTATTTAAACAAAAAAAAGGAACAATAACCAAACAAAAGTGTGTACGCAATATTTTACTGTGTATTTGTGTATTTCTGTCATCGCAATAAAAAGTAACGTGAAAGTAACTTGAAAAGTAATCAATTACTTTGCAGTAATTGTTCAATTACTTCTGGGAGGCAGTAATCAGTAACGGTAATCGGTTACTTTTTTGACTGTAGTAATTGTAATTGTAATCAGTTACTTTTTTTCAGTAACGTGTACAAGTCTGACAGAAGGGCATTGTAAAGAACCATTTTTATGAAGCGCGAGGTTTTTTTTCGTTTTTCACCAAGTGTTTGTTATTTGTATAAAGAGCTGCCGCGCGCCATCTGTTTCTTCGTTTTGAGAATATTTTAGATGCATGTATATTGAATAAAAAAGAGAAAAAGATCCATCTTCGCTTTGTGTCCTTTTTGTGGCTTTATTTCAAGATAAGATTACAGATCGGAGCAACAGGAGAGCTTTAAAGCGAGAGAAGGAAATTGCTTTCGCACGAGTATGGAAATTTGTCGGTCGTTCCGTCCGTAGTCGCTCGCCGGTCATTTATTCCTCAAGCCATCAAGCGACTGGAACAGTCTCCCATGCTCTATTGCCACCATCATGGACCCTGCTGATTTCTCCTCTGCAGTAAAACTACACCTTTCTTGTCATTAGCTTCAATTTTGTATATTTTCTTTGAGCTCCCTGATCGTATCATGCTTGTGTTTTGGCTTTTATATTGTCCAAATCCTGATTACGCCCCCTCTTATGTAATGCCCTTAACGGGCCCTTAAGGTGAAATAAATAAATTAAATGAGCAGCGTTATTCGGCGAGGAGGCTAACCAGCTGCCGTCGATTCGGGACCGGAAGCTTAGGGTCAATGTCGAGCTGCGCTGGTGGTGCACTCTCTTGCTGCGGTGGCGAGGATTTGTCAGTAATCGCGGTGATTTTGGTGGAGTTTCGGAGTCCCTCGACGTGGCCCATGGATGAACATTTTGGGAGGTGTTGCGTTTCATTTCGGAAATTCGTCACGAGGAACACAGTGCGGCCATCCGGAAGTTCAAATACTCCTCTTGCGACGCCTAGTCCTCTTGCTAGAAGCAACTGGAGACTTCCTTCGAGCAGAACTTCGCCGCGGAAGGCTTCTGTGATCCTGACCACTAAGAAATCACACGACCGCGGCGGTAAGTTCACGTGGCTTGAGAGGACTCGGACTGCGGATGACGTCGTTTTGGATTCCACGGTGATGAAACAGGTTTTTATAGTGTCAACCGGTTTTCTGCAAGGTCAATGACGGCGCCATACTCGTAGAGAAAGTTAATTCCGAGGATATCGTACCTCGCACCGTCTTGTAGAACGACGAACTTCACATGAAAAGTTTTACCATGAATCTCGACACCAGCAGTGCATCTTCCGACTGGAGTGATGAGGTGCCCACCGGCGGTTTGTATTTGAGGGCCTTCCCATGGCGTTGTCACTTTTTGAGAGAGCCTCGACTGAGTAGTCTGCTCCGGTGTTCACGAGTGCGGATGCGTCGTGTTCGTCGATAATAACATTTAGGTTGTTGGACACCCAAGCAGGGGCGTCGTTGCGATGGGCAGCGTCAACACACTGGGAGCGTTCCGGCGCTCTTGGAGACTTTATACTTCGGTCGTCTTCGGAAACGCCACATCAAGGCGTTGCCGCACTTAGTTTTTTCGGCGACGCAGGGGACACAGACTCTCTTGGCAAAGTCGGGGCGCTGGAGGCGCTGAACGTCGTGGCGATGGTGAGCGGTATTCACGGCGGAAAGACGGCGCTGTGAGGGC